GTATGAAAAGTGAATTTACTCTGTAAATCTTCACCCAAATCCTAATTAAAAAAAAAAAAAAAGAGTTACTCACAGAAATTCCAAATGAAAATCATCATTTATGTTAAAAGTTATTTTCAAGTCTTATGCTGGGACAGAGAAAGTGCTGAGGAGGAATTAAGACAATTACTTCCCTTTATTGCCATGTTTCCTCACTACCAAGCAGCCAGTGGCCAACAAAGCTTCAGGTGCTGGGTAGGGTGAGGTGGGTCCTTTAGCTGCACCCTACTGGGTGGCAATATCACTCTTTTACCAACATTTTGAGTGAAAACAAGGCCTATAACAAAGCAAAAATGTACTCCAAGTTATAGAGAAAGGATGGAAGATAGTTTTTGCTTAAGAAAAACTGAGGTGTCAGGTGAACCTTCCATATGGCATACTTTGAAAAAATGAACTCTACATAGGCACTCAGTGATCACAGAGGTATGAAGATCTGTACCTGCTTCTCAGCTTGTTTCAGGAGCTTCTGGAACCTCTCATCCTCTAGCACACCCCGTGGAAGGTCAGTCTCTCCTTGTGCTTTCAGTTCCTCCAGCTTTTGCCGCAAGCCCCTCAGGGCCTGCAGCTCATCATTGAGCCGACTCTGTCGGGTCAGAGATGCCTGAAGATCCAGTTCTAAGTCTAGAGATGTACGGACTGGGCATTCTTGTGCTGTTCTTCTAAGGACTGGCTGGCAAACAGTCTATATAGTCAGAAAACAAAACAGAAAATCCAGACCAACATCAAAACATCCTTATTATCCTGGCAGTCATAATTCTGTACCAATTGCTAATATTCTATTTTTCCTCCTTTCTGGTACATAATTAGATTGTACTTCCTTCGAGTGAGGCATGGTTGACATAGAGACTTACTTTGGCCAATGAAAGTTGAGTGAGTGTTGTGTGTCACTTCTAGGCAGAAGCCTTTCAAGCCCTGTGTCAAATGTGCCAAGTTGTCCCTGTTTCAGGGTTAGAGAGCTCCACAGATGGAGGCTCTCTCTGCCTGAGTGCTGACTGAGAATAACAAGGAGCAGAGCATCAAGCCAACCTGCAACGAACAAGTAGCTAAGCAAGAAGTAAACCTTTATTGTTTTAAGCCACTGAGACTGAGAGTTGTTTGTTACCATAGTAGACCCTACCCTAACCTGATCAATTCACTACACAAAGCCTGCTCTATGTGAATAACAAATCTATTTCTAGAAACTTGTATTTCCTCCATTTCACTCCACATGATAACTTATGTCCTTATGCCAGTCTAAATGTAGATGGTCAACAGGATTAGATGCTGACTCCCTTTTGTGATCAATATGCTTCAATTTCAACTAATTCTTGAATTCCTCATTATCTGAAATCTACTTTTACCACTGAACCACTGATGGTATTCCTGGGGACAATCTTATCCATTTACCAAGAAATTATTATTGAATATGTATAAATAAATGTTTGCTGGGGGTCTGTAGGCAGAACACTAGAAAGATAAGACACAATCTCTGACTTTGAAGACTTCAATTAGAGAATAGTGTAAGACAGTAATTAATAGTAAGCTGTGGAGTAGTGTCTGTAAGTGCACAGGAAGTCAGGGAAGGGAGAGATCCTTCAGGGATGGGTAAGACTCACTGGAGAACAGGAATTTAAACTAGGCTAGGTCAGACTGCATAAACAGGAATAAGGAGGGTATTTCTTGGCAATGGGAACGGAAAACAACAGATTACTAATAAGAACTGGTACTATTTGCTGTGAGAGAGGAGGGACTCAAGCTTAGCAAGTACTCCACTTTGAAGATCTAGAACAATTGTGGTGTAGTAAATTACTTAGTGTGGCTTTTCTACCCATAAGTCTTTGTAAATTGCAAGGTGGGAATTGCTATTAGCAACTGAGGAGATCCTGATTGCTAAAGTCGTCCACCTGGAGTATTTCTGTTGGGAGTAGCACAAAACAATGTTCTGGGAGGTTCCCACTCTATCTCAGGTGCTTAGAGTTCTGATGCTATGATTGGCTAGTTTGGCCACTCTGCCAGGCTCAAAAGGAGGCCTCCTAGAGGCAGAACTCTCTCTGACTGCTGGTTGAGGAAGACGTGCTGCTGAAAGAGACACGTGCTACTGGGAAAGAGATGCAAGAGACACGCGTTGCTGAGTAAGACACTGAGGGACATGCACTGCTGGGGGAGAGACTGTGAGAGACTTGGCTGAGAGACGGTGGGCTGGGAGAGAGACTGAGCATTTTTCCTGAACATGAATTATAGCCTGGTGCTTCCCTAATAAATCCCATAATCTGTGAGTTCTGTGTGGCTACTACTGCAGTGAATTATCAAACCCAGGAGAGAGGTCGTGGGTGCTTTGGGAGGAACGGTTGGAGAAAGGGCTGGAGGGAGGCAGCATGTTTGGCCTCGCAGGAATAGGCCTTGGGCTATTGATGGTGATTCTGTCTTCCTCTTGTGGGATTAGAGGAGGTCAGAACATGTGGCCTCCCTGTCTTTTGTGCAACAATGGTGGCACCCATGACAGATGTGAAGGAGAGGGTATGCCTCTCTTCTTATTTGAGAGCCTAAAGCTGAGTCTGAATAGCTTATATTCCTAATTGTCTCTTCCTATTGCATGCTCTGTGAAAATCTAGGTGCTAGCTTTCTGTAACATTCTTATTAGGTTCCTTTATTCAAGTTTTGCCCTTTCTAACACACTCCATACACAAGAAGAATCATCTAGACACACATTCTCTGATTTTATTTCTTATTTTTGAGAATCAGAAATCCTTCTCAGTTATCCTGCATGTGGAAACTTTCTAAGGACTCAAATATGCAGTTGTGTGCTGGTAAATGGTTAACAACTGGCTGAGGGAGAAAAGCACCGATTTGTAAGATTTGCAATTTCTACGGTGTAAATACTCCCAGCACAAATATTTTTAAAGTCATCAGTGTGATTCACTGAATGTTGAGTTGGGAAGAGATGTGCACAATGAATTTGCTCTCTCAAGGTGATATGTGCAACCATGGACAATGGTTACTACCTCCCCTCCTGACTTACATCCCTGGCACTTTTCTTTCCAGTCAGGTGAACATTTTAGTGGTCTTTACAGAGGCTGTTGTTCTCTTACACCTTTGTATCTTTTTCATGCTATATCTCCTAAATAAGAACACAATTCCTCACTCATTCCTATCAAACAACATCTGTCTACTTTAAAAACCATTAAAAAAACAAACATATACAATCTTCTCTATACTGTTTCAGGGCTAACCTCCGTCTGCCTCAAGTAGTTCTAATAACTGAATTATCAGTAATCCAACCTTTTCCAGTTCCACTCATTTCATAAACACTTCAAGGTTAAGATTTATCTGAAGAGTCCTATTACCATCTAAAAGTACATGCTATTTAAAGAAGGCAGAAAATTTATGTAATAGAGTTGAAATGAGTTTTCATCCAAAATGATGGAAATTTAGGTGCTTTTAAAAGATAAGGTTTGGTCATCTGAAAAGATCACACTAAAATTTCACGAAAATGCTGAATGCTAACTAAGTGCCAGCATATTTATCTTAAAAAAATACAATGTTTTTATTATTATCAGGTATCTAGGATATTGAACCAGGGAACTAAGTGGTGCCTAGTCATGCATCTACTACTGTGTGCACTGTGGCATTCAACCAGAGTCACCGAAGACCATGACTCTAATTTACTTTCTACCCCTCTCTCCAATCTTCCCCTACACAGTGACCGAGCTCTGGCTGAGCTCAGTCACACCGCAGCCCCAAACATGCTTTCCTGCTACTATGTCATTTCATGGCACCTACTGCTAGCATCTAGCATCCTCCTCCCTCACTCCCATCCTCCTCCCTCACTCCCCAACAAAAAAAAGCAACCATTTTCTCTTGAAACTATTTAGGCACCAAGGCCACAGGAAGCCGTTCCTAACTTTTCCAGTCATACTCTTTTAACTGTCCTATGTGCTCCTCAGATTATCTCCTCTATACTATAAATTCCTGAAGGCAATGACTTCATCTACAGAGCTTTACATGCATAGTACTTTGTACTCAGTAAACAACTTATTTTACTGAAATTAATAATAGTAAACAAAAAACTTTCTAGTAGTATTTCTGCTGTTGGTAAGTAAACAAACTAAATTTCCAGTCTTAATTATCACATTATCATGGGTTCCAAACCAGTGGTGAATAAATGGTCTCAAGTATCCTCTTCCTGTGTCCAAAACTGATATAACTTTTGTGTCTCTGCAGTAGCTTATTTCAACAGCTTGAACATGGAGCACTGATATTTTGACAGTCCTGGCATTTATGCCTCATAATTCACAATGCTCGATTGGTCTAGAAGAGTAAGATGTTACTGAGGGAATACATACCCTTTTAACCCTCAAACTGCGCCGTTCAGTGGAGTTTCTCACAAAGAGTGACTTTTTAGCCAGAGTTGAACTGTCACTGTCACTCCGATTTAACTGTGAATAAAGGATAAAAAAAAAAGAGAGAGGTTAAAAAAAAAATCACCACATAACAGAGATATGTTTTCCCCTATTTATACTTTTCTTAAATAAGATTTTGAAACTACCTTTTTGGTAGCAGTATCCAAAGTTATGTGTTAAGATAATTACATGGTTTTTTAAATGAAACTATCATTTCAATTTTTAGCTAATATGCAACATTCATTTTTTGAAGAAAGGTCTGCATAATGCATAGAGCACAAGGTCAGAGTTAAGACATAGTATAAACAATCTAGTAAGCTCCTAGGCCAGACAGCCCATGGCTTACTTCTCCAAGTGCTACAGGTTTTTGCTGAAACGTCACCTTCTCAATGAAGCTTATTCTAAAATTTCTTAATTCATCTTATTCTTAAATTTGCAACCTTTATCCTCACCATTACAAGTCCCCTTAACTTGCCCTACTCTTATCCATAGCATTGATCCCTATTCAAGATACTCATAATTTACTGATCCATCACATTCATTGCTTATTATCTGGCTCTACTCACAAACTTAAGATCTGAAAGGGCAGGGTTCTGGATCTTTTTTGCTTCTGAATGAATCCTAAGTATCTAGAAAAGTACTTAACAGCAGGTGTTTAATAAGATTACTATTTATTGAACTGAATGAATAAATTTAGAATTTTAAAAGTATTTTCTGATTCATTTTTACAGTGTTAAGTCTGTACTTCTATAAATCATAAATATCTCTAGAAATAAAATTTGGCAAATTGATGGAAATCCCACAATATCTTTCACAGAAGTATGAATCTGATTCAGTATCTTGACATTAATAAGATGATTTTGTTCTAAAACCCAAATTACAATTTTCACTTCTAAGACTAACATGATTTGAAGCATGTATGGTGTGGAGTAGAAATGTGCAAACTATTATATACCTCAAGTCACTTTAAGTTTCTAAAAACAGACTTAAGTCCAGATATACTTATAGGTCAAGATCCTTAAGTTTCACTTATTTGCCAAATAAATGATATTAGAATGAATGAGAGATTAAATGTAGAAGGGGGAAAAAACTACATTAAATAGAATCATATGAGTGTGACACATATATATTTTACAGGGTTTTTAGTGAGTAGTATTTGGAATTTCTCTGTACATAGTCTTTGTCATTTACAGGCTCTTCACTATCAAGGAAGGGAAGAAACTGTAGTTCCTAGTGTCTCGTTACGAATGTTGTTCACCTTACCCTGCAGATGTACTGGTTCCGTTCTCCTGGAGAAAAGGTTTGTGAGCGTACTATCACGCTGCTCCTCACAAAACGATGCTGTCGAGAACTCAGGCCACTGCGGTCTTTGGGGCGAACTGCCATATTGTCATTAACTGCTTCATCGGTATTTGTCTCCTTATCAACCTACAAGACAAGTTATTAATTTCTTAGAAGTGGATAGATGTGTATACATTTATGTTTTCTTCTTGTAAGTAACACAGAAATACCTAATCTTAAAATAGAGACCTAGCTAGCACGAAGGCTACTTCTGAGAGAAAGGCTTCATATTATAGAATATAATATTATTTATGGGAAAATGGGAAGAATGATTTTCTAGTGAGTTCTCAGGAAATTACCCACAGTAGGTAGGATAATATCTGTCCAAAAATATTACCCATAAATGCAAGTAGCACCTCCAATAAACCAGACCTAAAAATGAAGCTTCAGATTTATAGGATATAAATGTTGTTCTATAAATAATCATATTTGGGATTATTTCATCATTAAACTTTCAACTTTCTGATCAAGTTATTTTTCAGAATAAATGATAAAAGTAATTAAATATAAGAAAATAAAATATACTAAAACATTTTAGATTTAAGTACAATATGCAATCATACATATGAACGTATAACTGCTGTGAAGCTGAGTTGAGATTTTCATTGGATCTTTGGAAATGTAACAAAAAACAAAATTTAAATAAAAAAGGAAGTTTCTCAAAACACAGACTCAGCAGGCACAGGCAGATGTCTATTTTTGATTTCAGGGTTTGGCCTGAATCCAAACCTACCACTTTGGGCTCCTTTGTACAAGGAACTCCTCAGTGTGGGTACAATATTCCTTTTCTTAGGAAAAAGAACTGGAATTTCCTAAACTCTATTACCAACATTCCAAGCATACCAGTATCCTCAAAGATTCCAAATGCTCTCCCTGCTTTGGGAACAGAAGTCTCAACTCTTTGCTCACTCAACTAGCAAATTTACCTGCTTATTATCTTGGTTACATCAGTGCTTAACCTGAAGAGATTTCAGTCAGAAAACCATCTGATCAAAATGAACTTTAAAATGTTTACTTGACGACTGAAATTTAAAGAAATTATACCATTTACGAAACCTGATACAATTAAGTAGTCATCCTGGTGTTCTCTAGGAAATTCAGAAAATACTTTTACTAAATATTCATAGAACATTTACAGAGATCTAAAGTAGCATAATATCTCTTCTTACATCAAATGTAACTGGATAACATTTTGAGCCTGTTTAAAATTTTATTTTTATTTTTGCAGTGTTCCCTCCCCTACCCTCCCATACCTAGTAACCAATAAAGAAAGTTTCCTTCCATATATAGAGCCTGTTTAAAATTTTAAAGCATTCACAATGCTTCTTAACTGTCAACTGTCACAAATGCTTTTCATAATCCACTTCTGAAACAAAAATGTAGTACTGAATTATACCCAAAGAGATGAAAAAAGAAAAAAGACAAAAATCCACCTCCTTAGACTACATGGTGTCTATAGACATGTTTTAGGAGAGTACACTTGAAAAATAATCACCAGGGTGGGTATTCCAGTAGGTTGCTGACTTCCAGGGTCTTTGGCACAATCATTTTCTTTCCTATTCTTGTTTTCATTTGTCTCAGATGTACTAGTGCTTGAATTTAAGTCTTCTGTATAGCTACTACCCTCTGGCAATTTAACTTCAGTCTCTTCTTCAGTCACAATTTCATCAGAGGACTCTCTTCGCTTTATTAACCTATGGTAAAAGAAAACAACAAAACAAAATATACTCTAGGTCAAGCAAGAGAGCTCCATGAAGAAAAGTAAAATTTGGGCATTTTAATCTGTTATCTGGGAAATGGATAACAGACTCAATATAACGATTTTAAGACATTCTTTTGGCTAGAAATTTTAAACAGAAGTTCTCATTTTAATATGTAAAAATCTGAAATTAAAAACACCATATTTTGGTATTGACAAAGTTAAATCAATGAAATTTGACTTAATACCCAGATGTTAAAATAGAAATATTCTGAAAATCACATGTAAATTTAAAATACTGATGCTCGTTATGATGCAAGTTGGTATTTGTTGTTCATTTATAATAAAATTAATCATAAAACAGAATGGAGTGATTTCAACCAAGAGTAGATAGGGACTTAAGGGTTAATAATAACTATTTATCAGCTGTGCTCACAGTCTACTAGGGGTAGAACCTTGTGAAAGGAGATTTACTACTGAAGTATCAGAAGACCCTTAATGCCACATGTCATCTTAACAAAATCCATGACATGGACTTGAGCCACATTAACACTCATGCCCAAGAATATAGATAATGGTTTACATTCTGTATACATAGTTACAAGGAATTAAAGTACTAGGATGTGTACAGTCTCTCATGCTTCACTCAGTTTTCATGTATTTGCATGAAAACATGTTTTTCATTGATAACTAAGAGCTTTAATTGTGATTGGTGAAATACTGACAAATTGGCACAGATGAATTATTAAATGCTTAGCCATGAAATGCTCACAAGGGGAAATGAGCAATGGGTAAGAAGACTCATGTTGTTGTTGTTAGGTGCCATTGAGACTCATAGTGACCCCATGTACAAAAGAATGAAAACACTACCTGGTCCTGAGCCAGCCTCACAATTCTTGCTATACCTGAAACCATCATTGCAGCCACTGTGTAAATCCATCTCATTGAGGGCCTTCCCCTTCTTCGTTGACCCCCTACTTTATCAAGATTGATATCCTCCAGGTAATGGTCCCTTCTGACAACATGACCAAAGCAAGTGAGACAAAGTCCGGTTTCACTTCCAAGGAACATTCCAGCTGTACTTCTTCCAGGACAGATTTGTTAGTTCTATTAGCAGTCCATGGTACTTTCAGTATTCTTTGCCAACACCATAACTCAAAAGCATCAACTCTTCTTCAGTCTTCCTTATTCAGTGTCCAGCTGTCACATGCATTTGAGGCGACTGAAAATATCATGGCTTGGGTTGTTGTTGTTGTTGTTGTTGTTGTGTGCCGTCGAGTTGGCCCCGACTCATAGCGACCCCTCCTTGGGTTTCCGAGGCAGTATCACTACGGAAGTAGGATTGCCCAAACTTCCTTCCGAGGAGTGGCTGGTGGGTTTGAACCACCAGCCTTCTGGTTAGCAGTCAAGTGCTTTAGCCACTATGAGACATCTTTGCTCTTCAGCACTTGAAAGAAGTCTTTTGGAACAGATTTGCCTGGTGCAATACATTGTCTGATGTCTTGACTGCTACTTCCATTGGTGTTGATTGTGTTGTCATTGTTGTTAGATGCTGTTGAGTCGTCTCAGACTCATAGCAACCCTATGCACAGCAGAACGAAACACCACCCAGTCCAAGCTAGCTCCACAATTCTTGCTATACTTGAGCTCATTGCCACTGCCACCATGTCAATCCATCTCACTGAGGGCCCTCTCCTCTTTTGTCGACCCTCCATCTTACCAAGCATGACATCCTTCTCCAGGGAATGGTCCCTTCTGATAACATGACCAAAGTATGTGAGACAAAGTCTGGCCATTCTTGCCTCCAAGGAGCATTCTAGCTGCACTTACTCCAGGACAGATCTGTTGGTTCTTTTAGCAGTCCATGGTACTTTCAACATTCTTTGCCAACACCACAGCTCAAAAGCATCAACTTTTCTTCAGTGCTCCTTATTCACTGTCCAGTTCTCACATGCATATGAGGAGAATGAAAATACCATGGCTTGTGTCAGGTACACCTTAGTCCTCAAGGAGACTTCTTTGCTCCTCAGCACTTAAAAGACATCCTTTGCAGCTGATTTTCCCAGTGCTATATGCTGTCTGATGTCCTGACTGCTGTTTGCATTGGCATTGACTATAGAACCAAGCAATGTGAAGTCTTTGACAATTTCAATCTTTTCTCCATTTATCATAATGCTGCTTATAGGTCCAGCTGTGAGGATTTTTGTTTTCTTTACATTGAGATGTAATCCATACTGCAGACTGTAGTCTTCAATTTTCATCAGTAAGTACTTGAAGTCACCCTCACTTTCAGCAAGCAAAGTTGTGTCATCAGCGTATGGCAGGTTGTTAATGATTCTTCCTCCAATCCTGATGCCACGTTCTTCTTCATATAGTCCAGCTTCTCGGATTGTTTGCTCAGCATTATTTGCTCAGATTGAATAAGTATGGTGAAAGGATACAACCCTGACACACTCCCTTCTTGATTTTAAACCATGCAGTGTTCCCTTCTTCTGTTTGAACCACAGCCTCCTGGTCTATGTACAGGTTCCTTATGAGTACATTAATTAAGTGTCCTGGAATTCCCATTCTTCTCAATGTTATCCACAATTTGTTACGATACACACAATCAAATGCTTTTGCATAGTCAATAAAACACAAGTAAACATCTTTCTGGTATTCCTTGCTTTGAGCCAAGATCCATCTGACATCAGCAATGACAGCTCTCATTCCACATCGTCTTCTGAAACCAGCTTGTGTTTCTGGAAGTTCTCTGTCAATATATTGCTGCAACCGTTTTTGAATTATTTTCAGTAAAATTTTATTTGAGTGCAATATTAATGGTATTGTTTTATAATTTCCACATTCTGTGGGATCACCTTTCTTTGGATAGGGAACAAATATGAATCTCTTCCAGTCAGTTGGCCAGATAGCTGTCTTCCAAATCTCTTGGCATAACCGAGTGAGTGCCTCCAGCAGGGCATCCATTTGTTCAAGCATCTCAACGGGTATTCTGTCAATTTCTGGAGCCTTGTTCTTCACCAATTCTTTCACTGCAGCTTTGACTTCTTCCTTCAGTACCACTAATTCTTGATCATATGCCACCTCCTGAAATGGATGAACATCGACCAGTTCTTTCTGGTACAGTGACTCTATGTGTTCCTTCTATCTTCTTTTGATGCTTCCCGCATCATCCAATATTTTGTCTATAGAATCTTTCAATATTGCAACTCGAGGCTTAAATTTTTTTCCCCAGTTCTTTCAGCTTGAGAAATGCTGAGCGTGTTCTTCCCTTTTGGTTTTCTAACTCCAGGTCTTTGCACACTTCATTATAGTAATTGGCTTTGTCTGCTTGAGTTGCTCTTTGAAATCTTCCATTCAGCTATTTTATCTTGTCATTTCTTCAATTTGATTTAGTTACTCTTCACTCAAGGGCAAGTTTCAGAGTCTCTTCTAACATCCATTTTGGTCTTTTCTTTCTTTCTTCTCTTTTTAATGACCTCTTGCTTTCCTCATGGATGATGTTCTTGATGTCACCCCACAATTCTTCTGGTTTTCGGTCACTGGTGTTCAATGCATCAAATCTATTCTTTAAATGGTCTCTAAAATCAGGAGGGATATATTCAAGGTCATAGTTTGGCTTTCGTGGACTTATTTTAATTGTCTTCAACTTCAAGTTGAACTTGCATATGATCAGCTGATGGTCTGTTCCACAATCAGCTCCTGGCCTGGTTTTGGCTGAAGATATTGAGCTTTTCCATCTTCTCTTGCCACAGATGTAGTCAATCTGATTCCTGTGTGTTCCGTCTGGTGAAGTCCACGTGTATAGGCATCATTTGTGTCGTTGAAAAAAGGTATTTGCGATGAATAAATCGTTGGTCTTGCAAAATTCTATCATGTGATCTCCAGCGTTATTTCTGTCACCAAGGCCAAATTTTCTAGCAACTGGTGATTCTTCTTTGTTTCCAGCTTCTGCATTCTAATCACCAGTGATAAGCAACACAACTTGATTGCATGTTCGGTCAATTTCAAACTGCAGAAGTTGATAAAAATCTTCAGTTTCCTCATCTTTGGCTTTGCTGGTTGGTGCATAAAATTGAGTAATAGTAGTATTAATGGGTCTTCCTTGTGGACCTATGGATCTTATCCTATCACTAGCAGCACTATACTTCAGGACAGATCTTGAAACATCCTTTGTGATGATGAATGCCATGCCATTCCTCTTCAATTTGTCATTCCCAGCATAGTAGATCATATGGTTATCTGATTCAATATGGCTAAAACCGGTCCATTTCAGCTCACTAATGCCTAGGATATCAATCTTTACGCATTCCATTTCATTTTTGACAACTTCCAATTTTCCTAGATTCGTACTTCATACATTCCATGTTCTGATTATTAATGAATGTTTGCAGCTCTTTCTCCTCAATTTGAGTTGTGCCATGTCAGCACAAGGAGGTCCTAAAAGACTTACTTTACCTATATCATTAACATTGGTTCTATTCTGAGGAGGCAGCTCTTTCACAGTCCTATATTGAGTGTCTTCCAACCTAAGGGTCTTGTCTTCCTGCACTGTGTTGGATAATGTTTCCACGCTATTCATAAAGTTGCCCAGTATGTATCATACAGTGTTTCTCTGCTATTCATAAGATTTTCCCTGGCCAATTTTTGAGAAGTGGATGGCCTCCTCCTTCTTCTCAGTCTGTCTTAGTCTGTAAGCTGTGTTGAAGCATGTGCAACTCTGCTGGCATCTGAAACACGAGTGGGACAGCCTGAAGCCTCAGAGCAATGTACAAGCCTCACAGGATGACAAACTGACAGATAAATTTGTCTCCCTCAGCTGTTGGAAACCTATGTGCCCCCCTCCCCTTACCTAATTCCTACCTGGAACCTACCACTCTGTGGTCCCTAGCTGCTCCCTCCTTTTCCTGGCTCTAGGGGGCTTGGGACCTGCCTTGCCTCCTGTCCCATTACCTGGATATCCTGCTGCTCCTGTGGTTCCCCGAGGTCGCTCCTGGTCCTGCCCTTTCCTGGCTCTAGGGGACTTGGGGCCTAGGCTTTCCTCCTGTCCCTCTACCTAGATATCCTGCCACTCCTGAAGTTCCCAAGGCTGCTCCTGCTCCCTCCCTTTTCTGGTGTTGATGGTGGAACCAAGTAATATTAAATCTTTGACAATTTCAATCTTTTCTCCATTTACTGTGATGCTGCTTTTAGTCCAGTTGTGAGGATTCTTTTTTTCTTTATGATGAGATGTAATCCATACTGCAGACTGTAGTCTTTAATCTTCATCAGTAAATGCTTCAAGTCATCTTCACTTTCAGCAAGTAAGATTGTGTTGTCTGCATACTGCGGGTTGTTAATGACCCTTCATCCAATCCTAATGCCATGTTCTTCTTCATATAGTCCAGCTTCTCAGATTATTTCCTCAGCATACAGACTGAATAAGTATGGTGAAATGATACAGCCATGATACACACCCTTCCTGACTTTAAACCATGCAGTATTCTCTTGTTCTGTTTGAATAACAGCCTCCTGGTCTATGTACAGGTTCCTCAGGAGTACAATTAAGTGTTCTGGAATTCCCATTCTTTTCAATGTTATCCATAATTAGTTATGATCCACACAATCGAATGCTTTTGCATAGTCAATAAAATACCAGTAAACATCTTTCTAGTATTCTTTGCTTTTTGAGCCAAGATCCATCTGACATCAGCTATGAGATCCCTCATTCCATGTCATCTTCTGAATATAGCTTGCATTTCTGGAAGTTCTCTATCAATATACTGCTACAACCATTTTTGAATTATCTTCAGTAACATTTTACTTCATGCAATATTAATGATATTGTTAGATCCCTTCTGTGGGATCATCTTTCTTTGGAAAGGGTAAAAATGTGGATCTCTTCCAGTCAGCTGGCCAGGTCGCTGTGTTCCAAATTTCTTGGCACAGATGAGAGAGTGCTTCCAGCATGGCATCCATTTGTTAAAACATGTCAATGGGTATTCTGTCAACTCCTGGAGACTTTTCTTTGTCAATTTCTTCAGTGCAGCTTCAACTTCTTCCTTCAATACCACTAGCTCACAGATCTGTCTATATAAATACTAAGCGTACTTTCTGAAATGTGTGTAACACAAGTTATATTTTACATGCAAATGAAAGGCTAAGTTTTAAAGACACTGTGAAAAACCTTATAAGCACTCTCATATTTATTTGTTTTCCAGTGCTCAGAATTTTATTTAGTATAAAGAACTTTTGATAAGGACAAAGTATATATCTGTACCTTTTGCATCACTGTAGTAATAATTGCTTCTACATGTCCATGACTGTATTAATGCTATAAAATGCTACTCTGAGCTTATAAAGTCATATTTATATCTATATACATTTATACACATACACACATATGTGCAAGCTATATATGTATATGCACATACATGTTACAGAAATTCAAACATAACAGCATAAGAGTCTATATACAAAAATTACTCTAAGTGTTTTATACACATATTTCAAAAACAATCATTCACTATAATTTTTTTTTTTCAATAGAAAACAGTATAAACCAGGAAAGACAGCTTTCTATTCATATGAAGCTGGACAAAATTATAATAGTATTTCTTTTTTTTTTTTAAGGATGAGATATAGATAAGACAAAGGAGAAGAAAAGAGTAAGGAAGGTGAAGTGGGAATAAACAGAGAAATGACTACTTACAAGATGCTTCTGAAATATATACATTGACTTATCAGAGACTCAATGATACTTCTGGTAGCTTTTTAGAAAAGACAGCCAGTATTTTCATTTGTCTATGACTCTAAAACTACCAAACCACTCAAATTAGATAATTTAGACTTAAGAAAAAAAGCTCAAATAATAGTGTTAAAAATTATTGTGTTAACTATGCTCATTAATCTTACATTATGTCCTTCAACTTGGTAATGACTAAGGATAGATGTTCTCCTAGCCAAGAACTCCCTGTAGCCACAGTGTTTTGCATACTGCCAGAAATAAGATGTTGCTGTTGTTATGTGCCGTCAAGTCAGACCCGACTCATAGCGACCCCTCCTTGGGTTTCCAAGGCAGTATCACTATGGAAGTAGATTGCCTAACCTTCCTTCTGAGGAGTGGCTGGTGGGTTTGAACCACCAACCTTTTGCCTTAGGCACTACGCTACCAGAGCTCCTAGAAATAAGATAGTTTCCCTATAAAAAGTTTCCCTGCAAGTTTCTTATGAGAAACTAAACAAAATACATTCTCTTTGAATTTGCAACAGCAAAAAGAAATAACTGTTTTACCAATTTCCATCTGGACCCCTTTGCTCTTCTTCTTCTTTCCCTGGATCTTCTTCTTCTTGTGCTAATTCTTTTTCCACGGCCAATAGCTCAGCTGATGTTCTTGCAAGTAAGGCTGATACTGCATCCTAGAGAGCGCAAAACATATAGCAATTAAGATCATATGGTTTAAGCAATTATTAAAAATTTTATCATATGGGAACTTATATTTTCAGTTGTGAAAAAGAAGCCTCCATGAGACTTAATTATCCTGCCATGAACAAATATAAAGCTGCACACTGCCATCAAGTTGAATCTGACTCATAGCAACCCCTCCTTGGGTTTGTGAGGTGGTATCACTACAGAAGTAGATTGCCCAACCTTCCTTCCGAAGAGCGGCTGGTGGGTTTGAACCACCAACCTTCTGGTTAACAGTCAAATGCCTTAGGCACTATGCCAGTAGAGCTCCTAATATAAAGCTAGATAAAGCAAAAAATAAAAAGTAATGGGCTAAAACAAGCGAACAACACCTCCCAGCTATTTAAGGGCATCTGAGACATCAAGACTAGAGGGCCAAGAGCCCAGGGAGAAGAGAAATTCAATGAGCTGAGGTAACCAACACTGTTGCTCTTCTGCCTTGTGTGCACCTGTCAATTCTATTGGTGTAGCATATAAACATAACAGACTTTGGCTGCTCAGAACTGTGGCAGTGCTACTAGTATGGGAAGACTATAACTGAGTTCAGGTTTACCAAGGTAGTCAGCATGTAAGTGCTCAGAGAAAATGAAGTGCAAAGTGAGGTTAATTTTTGGGGTGATATTATTACCCAGGCATTTGCTGTTCCTAAACTGTTCATATACAGGGCAAGAAACTGAGAAACCAAGCAAAATCAGTTGCTAAGACACTAAAACAGCAAGCATTTCAGTTATCTCACGGTTCTAGACAATAATAATTGGAATTCAGGTCCCTCAAGTGATACAGATAATCTGCTCATGTTGTTCTCTGCTTGACAAAAGAATATAAAATCTCTCCTAGAGGATGATACCAGCCAGAGCCTCTATAATTCCTCATACAAAATATCCAACATTACACTGGAAGAAGGACATAATGATCAAAAGGAGAGAAACAATAGAAAATAGAGGCAGCCCATATATTGGAGGTAACCCATATGTGGGAGTTAATACAGAAGGAAGTTAAAATTTTAAAATTATTATGTTCAAGAAAACTAATGAAAAGATGGAGAATTCTACTAGTATAAACAGAAAAAACATACTAGGTACAACAGAATGAAATTACTGAAATCAAAGAAAAGGAGGAAATCGTAAAGGCAGTGAGAGAAAAAAGATCCATCTTAATGATGAACAATTAGACTGATCTCTAAGAGAATCAATGGAAAGTATAAGGCAAATAAATGATATTTAATGGGTTGAATGCAAATAACTGTCTGCCTAGAATTCTACATGCAGCAAAAAATAAATGTCTTTCACAAATGAAACTGAAATAAAGACATCAACAGACCAGTTATATTATATTATATTATATTTTATATATATATATATATATATGTATATATATATATATATAATGGACTTCTTCAAGCAGAAGGAAAATGACCCATATGGAAGCATAATAATGCAGAAAGAAATAAAATAACCACACAAACCATATTTACAGAAAGGTAAATATAGGAAGAAATTTAAATGAGTATCGATTAACCAATAAAACAACAGTAATAATATTTTGTGGGGTAAACAATACGTGAAACCACGATATATGACAACTAATATAGAAAGAGTAGAGCAATAAATGTGGCTGATGTCTTATACTTTGGAGAAGAAGTAGAAATATTAATAAAAGTAGATTCTAGTAAGTCAAGAATGGACGCTATAATCTCTAAGGTAACTGTAAAACAAGAAAAGACTGCATTACTAACGAGCCAATAGAGTAACCCCCAAAAAAGAAGAAAAAAGAACAAAGATGGGGCTAAAAGAAAACAAATAATAAGATGATAGGTTTGAGGGAACTTCCAGTAAGATGGAGGAATAGGCAGATAAGCAACACAGACCCTCTTCAACAAAGAAAAGGAAAACCAAATGACAGAGATACAGAAGATAATCTTGGAACCCTGAGCTTTGAAAGGAACTACACAGAAGTGGATTAGGCACCAACTAATGGAAAAACCTGAACAAAAACAGTGAGTACAGAGATGGTTGGAGCTGCGGACTGTAGGCTACTCTGACGGGACCAACAGCCTGAATATTTCCAAGTGGTGTTGGGACTTGAGAATTGACCTAAAGATCAGTTCTGGTCACCAAGGGCTGTAGGGACAACTACACTGGTGGACTATGATTAGGAAGGGAAACAGTAAAGATGGAGACAGCCTGATCTGTTGACTTTCTGCTGTACAGAAGGCGCAGCCATTTTGACTGTTTACACGTGGCAGCCATTTTGGATATATAAAGTGACCGTGGGTGCAGCCATTTTGAGTATTTACAAGAGGTGGCCATTTTGGATATTTAAAGTGACTGAGGATGCAGCCATATTGAATCTTTACAAGCGGCACCTATTTTGGATTTTAAAGTGATAGCATTCTCATTCAGACCAGGGATCTAAGAATAGACTCTGTTTGCCAAGGTTGGCAGGGACATACAAGAGGCTGACAGCAGGAAAGGAGACAGATGGTGAGTGTATAAGTGCTATCAACGGGTGAATAGAGGCACACAGCACAGTACCCTGCTTGAGTAGATAATACACAAACGAAACAAAAATCATGGGCAAGTCACACCAACATACAATCACCAATTAAATATAAACACAAAAACATCACAATGCCTTGGAGAAAACAGAGCATCACAGTCCATACATAGAAGCAAGACAAAGCAGGAGAAACAAGGGATCAGGATAGAGATCCAAAACATATCCCTAAGGAAGACACAGCATCGGATCTCCCTGATAAGGAATTCAAAAGAATTATATTTAGGTACTTTCAACGAACAGAGAGATCTAGGAAAACAATGACAAGATTGAGGAAAAAACAGAGAAAATCCTACAATTTTGAAAGACAACACAAGAACAAAATGACAAAACAAATGAAAAATGTGAAATAATACAAAATCTACACACAGAAATCCAGAAGATTAATACTAAATTTTCAGAAAGAGATAAGACATTGAATGGGCAAAGAAGAAGAACCGAATCAATGGAAGACACAATTAATGAGACTGAAGGCATACACCTGAACACTTCTTTGGAAAGGGATAAATCGGAAAAAAGATCAGAATAAAATGAAGAAATTCTAAGGTTCATGTGGGATATCATCAAATGGAATAACCTGTATGTAATCAGAATTCCAGAACAAGAAGAGAGAAATAAAACTACAGAAAAAATCGTCCAAGATTTGTTGGAAGAGAATTTTCCTGGTATGATGAAAGATGAGACTAAATCCATTCAGGAAGTCCAACGAACCCCAAACAGGATAGACCCCAAAAGAAAATCACCAAGATATATCATCATCAAACTCACCAAAACCAAAGACAAAGAATCATGAGAGATGCATGAAAAAAACGAAAAGTTACCTACAAGAGGCAACCAATAAGAATAA